TTTGTACTGAGTTCAAAAGACTGTATAATTTTATCGGTTTTCCTTTCGCAAAAGAACAGAATCTCCTGACACTTACGTTAATGGAGGGATAGGAATGGAGGAACTGCACTTTTTTTTTGATTTTCATGCTAGATATTCTCCTTGTGTTGAGCATCAATGCACCTCTTGTCATCACTAAACCTTTATCTGCCCAATATCCAGGGGCATCGAGGATTCTTTAAGACAAATGGAATGTTATTTGACACCACAAGATCTTTTCATCTTTGCTCAGAACTAGAAGGCATTTTATCAATAAAGTGTTTGGAATGGACAAGTGAACAGTATTTAATATAAAGACTTGTAGTACATTAGAAAATTTGTACTTCTCTCTGTCAAAAGATACACCTTGAAACAAAATGACCTTTGTATCTCAACCTAATATAGCAAAATGTTACGTTGAGTGTCTAAATAGTTAATCTTGTGTTTCCACTGGCTGCAGACTCTGCCTGAAATTTAGCAAAAGATGTACCAGAAATTCTTAGGAGAAAATGCTTGAATAAGGAGCATTAAAGCTATATAAAAGTCTGGCTCAGCTGCCTAGAAAAGAAATCTTTTAAAAAGATCCCCCTGGGATTTCAATCATGGAAGATGTTTGAATTGAATGGAATGACTAGTCCCATTAATCCTTTTCCAATACTTGAATCAAGTTGCAGCTACAGAATATTCACTTTTTCGGTCTGCTACATGAAGCTGTCACTTTGGGAAAATAAAGCCCTGCCCTTAATAAATGTTAACGTGTTAAACCCCCTGTAGTGAGACAGAAATGAACTCTAGTCACGCATTAATGTATTTGGCATACCAGACCATAATTATCCTCCCTGCAGCTCGATAAATCAGCAAAATATGTTGAAATACTATCTCACTTTCACCCATGTGCATTGTGACCAGCAAGTGAGAAACCAACAGTAATCTGTTACGGACAAAAATATTTCATTTGTGAGAAACAGAGCAAATGTATTTCTTCGACACTAACCATGTTAATATACTTGCTCACACCTGCTATTGTTGTTATGTGGTGAACCCCACAACGGTAATTAACCTGTAACAGGAGGGTCGCAGCCTGGAGAAAGGATATGGCAGAAGAAAGCAGTAGATCCAGTTTTTTTTAAGGTAGGCAATTAAAGTACAAGGCTCTACTGCTGAATGGTAAATGCAGTTTGGTGTTTGCCAATGGAGGCGGAGGACTGCAAGTTTACTTGCTTGTTAGTTCCAAGTTACCATGACAATAGTAGAGATGTATCACGGTTAGGTTCCGTATCAAGAGGGCAAAAGTAACTGATAGTATGTTCCTGAGATAACAAGGTGTACAGCTGGATGAACACAGCAGGCCAAGCAGCATCAGGAGCAGGAAAGCTGACGTTTCGGGCCTAGACCCTTCTTCAGAAGGTCCATTCAGAAGAGTATTCCATGTCTGAGGAAGGCTGTAGGCCCAAAACGTCAGCTTTCCTGCTCCTCTGATGCTGCTTGGCCTGCTGTGTTCATCCAGCTCTACACCTTGTTATCTCAGATTCTCCAGCATCTGCAGTTCCTACTATCTCTGAGAGTACATTCCTGATCACTGCCCCATGGGGGTGGTGCTTGAAGGTCTGTCTATGTGCTGAGTTTTCCCAGCCCCTGAATGGCTTGGATAATGGTGAGGCAGTTGGGGAAAATGTGGAAAGATCCAAAAAATGAGATTCTTGATGTGGAGAGAAAAGGTGCAGGTTTTGCATCCACAGTTTGATGACAAAATGGGAATACCACTAGTGAGCAGTGAGGGGCCTATTCGTATGCATTAACAGCTCATTGTCACCTAGTCTCATCTTGTTTACTATTCTTCAATGCAGTGGAAAGTAAGTAGACAGCAACAGTTTCTGACCAGAAACTGAGTGTGCACCTTTCAGCTTCTGCTCCTCTGGGTCTCCCCAGTGCCCAACACCTATGGGCAGTGATTGCCTGCACAGCCACCCCCTCGCCATCCACAGAGGTTGGTATGGACCCTCACCATCCTCAATATATCATCATATCACACCTCCAACTCACTTAGACTATAGTTAACCACTTCGATGCTATACATAAGAGTGCACTAACATTTTGCATTTTAATATTCCTGCCAAGCCGATTTGCATGCATGGACGTGCACCCATCTCACAGTTTGAACCAGCTGCATCTCCGAGCTCTTTGAATGATCACTAGAGTGCAAGCAGACGGCACACACCTGGATGCTTATAATATCTCAACCATCCCCTGTCTTTTGCCGCATCATTCAGAACTCACTGTACTTCAGTCTTGCCTCTCAGCCAGGCAGCTTGCCATGTTTAGCAGCAGTGATGAGTCAAGGGGATGGATATGTTGCTGGATATGTTGGAAGGACCCAAAACGTTAACTCCGATTTCTCTCCACAGATACTGCCAGACCTGCTGAGTTTTTCTAGCAATTTCTGTTTTTTTTTTCTGTACAGCATGTTGCTACATCACTATCAAACCCATGCCATGTGCCAGCAGATTGAGTGGTGCAAACACAATGTGCTTCAATCAAATGGCCATGTCTTAAAAATCTAACAGGAGTAGCCCTTAATCAAGTCAAAGGGAACAAGAGTCGTAGAGTTTTACAACACAGAAAGAGGCCCTTTGGCCCATTATGCCCACAGTAGTTGTTTAATATCCAAAAATTCTAATCCCATTTTCGAACACTTGGAGCTTCAAATGTTTGTCTAAATGGTTCTTAAATATCTTGAGGATTCTTGCTTCTACCATCCTTTCAGGCAGTGTGTTCCAGGTACCCCCAAACCTCTGATTCCTGCTCCTTGCCTTAAAAACTGTGCCTGTCTCAGCCCCTTGAGTCTGCTTCATCGTTCCGTATGGTGATGGCTGATCTGGTTTACACCACGTTTCTGCCTACAACTAATATCCCTTCACCCTCTTGCTTATCAAGAAATTATCTACTACTTAATAATATTCAAGGAATCTGCTTCCACCACCTTTCAGGAAGAGAGTTCTAAAACCTCAAGATCTTCTGTTGAAAACAATACTCCCAGTCTCTGTCTTAAATGGGTGATCCCCATTTAAACAGTGACCCTCCTGCAACAAAGCTCCAGATCCTCTAGCAAGAGGAAATATCCTTTCCACATGATCCTTCAGAATCTTATGACCTGGATTTTCCAGTTGTCAGATAGATGGGAAATTAAAGAAAGTACTGAGCATTCTGGGAACCCTCCTAAAGATTAGATTAAAATCAGATCATTTTGGTTGGTTCCAATGAAATTAAATGAATAGTCACTTGGAAAAAATGAGACTATTAAATACATTGTCTAACTTCCAAGTATATATTCAACTGACCCCATACTTGTATCACAAGCCTCCCTTGCTACAACTCCATCAGGCAATGCACGTTCTCAATACCCTGACCTGACAACACCCCATCCCTGGACCTGATTTCTCCCACCCATCCTGACCAACACAAAACATGTCATCACTTACCTGGTACCTGACCCATTTGGTACCCTACATCCCAGCGTCTTAACATCACACTTACATGATTGCCATTTAACTGCAGCAGTCAAAGTGGCTGACCTTTCAAAATCCAGAATACAGTAGCTGACTGCAGGTCTTTATAATGCAGAACAATCAGCGTGGAAGCATGGCTCCATCTTTCTGAATGAACTTTGACCTGAATCTCCTGTCAGAAACGTGGAACTTATTCCTTTCATAAAAAGGGACATAGTGGCAAGCTGTGTGAGATTGCCACTGTGGAAAATCTGTTCCTATGTGTTTCAATAAAGTTGTCTCTTACTCTTTGAGACTGTAATAGATGCAAGCCTACTGTGTCCAATCTTTTGTCATTAGAGAACACACCCATTTCCAGGTATTAGTATAGGAAACTTCTAAACTGCTTTTCCTCCGCATCTCAGAGATCTGCAATTTCTCACTATTTAGATAAGACATTTCTTAATTCTTCCTGCCAAAGCCTTGTTGCCTCTGTTTTATTACGTTAAACCTTTGTATGTGCCTGGCAATAACATCTTTGATAATAGTTTCTAACATCGTCCCTATGACAGATATCAAGTTAACTGACTTGTGGTTTCTTGCTTTCTGTCTTCCTCCCCTTTTGAATAAAGGAGTTACTTCTGCTATTTTCCAATCTAATGGAACCTTTACTGAAGTAGGTGGCCTTTGTGATGGAGAGGAGTTTGAGTCAGCTCAGCGTCAAATCTGGGGTAAAGTCTGGTTTAGTCTGAGACAGTAGCCAGAGAAGGAAATGCAATCAGTGATGAGAGAACAGAGTTTTTAGCAGAGATAATGGCTTTGGATCCCAAAATTGAAACTGAGGGAATTACTTCCTATCCAGGACTGAGTATTCTTTAAGCAGCGTGACAGCACTGAAGCAATGGAAAGCTTTATGGAGGTAGTGATGAGGATTCAACTGGCTGACTGATAGTGCTCAGGCAGAGCAAGGAGTTCTCCTATCATGGTGGTCAAAACCAACTAACACAACCAAGACACGGATTAATTGCTCTTTCATTTCCTTTCTTTGGGGCCATGCTGGGTGTAAATTCGATTTCATCCTTTCCCATATAACAATGACTGCAGTTCAAAAGCAATCTTTTTAAATGCAGTGTGTTTTGGAATGAGTCAAATATTAGAAGAGCATCAAAGGCAGATTTTCAAAATCAATTCAAAGGCACTTTACATATGCTGAAATATTTGAATTATCCAATAATTTTAGTTAGACAATGTAAATAACGATAAAGTGGAGACTTAGTGCCTAAAAATGGTGAATGAACAACATTTAAATGAAGTAACTATATGAATTAAAAATAAACATTTAAGCAAGTCCTTTACTTTGTTCTTTTGTAACATTTCTTTTTTTAAATGTTGCGCTGTTATGATTTTGCAAAGTGGATGGTTTTGACAAAGGAAGTGCCTTCATCTGTACCATTGACATCTCCAGAACATCACATTTTTTTTTTGTTCCCTTTTCAGACAATGGAGGACAGACCTTGGGAGGTGGAAATAACTGGCCTCTGCGAGGACGCAAGTGGACACTGTGGGAAGGAGGTGTCCGAGGCGTGGGTTTTGTCACTAGCCCCCTGCTAAAGTGGAAGGGCAGAGTAAATCATGAACTCATTCACATCTCTGACTGGCTCCCTACGTTAGTGACTTTGGCCAAAGGAACCACTAAAGGCACCAAACCACTGGATGGCTTTGACATGTGGAAAACCATCAGGTAATGTGAATCTAGAATCGCAAGCTAAAAATATTCAGTGCTGTTTTGAAAGATTTGTAGAAGAGTGCTCTGTCTCTATCATTCATGTTGAACTATCAACATTTCCATCTTTTTACAGCAACAGGCATCCTCACAGCCTGGAATGCTGTGCCAGCATTTTTGGTGTTGTGATCTGATCTTTTGACTTGAGAAATTATTGTTTTGATGTTAGGATTTCAATCTTTTCTGGCCTAGTTTGACTCAACCAGTTTAACTTAATCTTGACCTTGGCTCAGTGGTGCTCTTGGTTCTAAATCAGAAGATCATTGGTATCAGGTCCTACTCCTGGTACCTGTGAGCACAGTCTAGAGTAAGGCTGCAGTACTGATGGTGTTACATCATGCCACAGACTGTTTTTCCAAAGAGAGATTAACCCCAGGTGCCCTCACTACCCTCCCTAAAAAATCCTTTGGTGTTATTTGAAGAGATCAGAAAGCTGGAATCCTGACTAACATTTATTCCTTGACTAATAAGACTATGCAAAATATCTGGTCTTTGCTGTTGGAACTTTGCTGTTAGCTCAAGATTTTAGCCCTGTTGGTCTACACACGGATCTGCCCGCACCTCTTTATTCAGCTTACCAGCATACCGTTCTATTCCTTCAAGTTAAGTTCTTTATTTTTCTTTCTCTGTTTGTGGAAAGTGGTAGTCAGATTTGCCTGGAGCCAATAGTGATAGATGGGCAATTCCAGCAATGATGAAGAACAATGGTACGTGTCCAGGTTAGAATGGTCTCTGACAACGGAGCTGATTGTGTTCCCACGGCAGCACTATTCATAATCTGCACTAGTGAAGTGGATGTAAATGCAGTCTATCAGTGTGGCCTGCAAACTAACAACAATTAAAAATACTGGGTTCAAAGTAGTATATGTTTCCATGTCATTAGAGTTATCAGAAGGAAGACATTTTGATTTCAAAAGTTGAGCTTTTTGAATAGTAGTAGGTCAGAGATTACTGAGTCCTTTGGGCTGTAGGCTCCTGAGGCAGAATATGAAGTGTTGCTCCTCCAGTTTGTGGGTGGCATCATTGTGGCAGTAGAGGAGGCCCAGGATGGACATGTCATCAAAGGAGTGGGAGGGGGGAGTTAAAATGTTTGGTGACTGGAAGGTGTTGTCAATTATTGCGTACAGAGCGCAGATGCTCTGCAAATCGGTCACCGAGTCTGCGCTTGGTCTCACCAATGTAGACGAGGCCACATTGGGAGCAACGGATACAGTAGACCAGGTTGGAGGATGTACATGTGAACCCCTGTCGGATTTGGAAAGTTTGTCTTGGGCCTTAGATGGAAGTGAGGGGGGAGGTGTAGGGGCCAGTGTAGCATTTCCTGCGGTTGCAGGGAAAGATACCAGGTATGGTGGGGTTAGTGGGGAGTGTGGAGCGGACGAGGGAGTCGTGGACTGAGCGGTCCCTACAAAAGGCAGTTAGGGGTGGGGAGGGAAATATCTCTTTGGTGGTGGGGTCGGATTGTAGTTGGTTGCGGACTTTTAGGCGTGGGGGATTTAAGTGTACAGGGACTTGATGTCCATGGTGAAGATGAGGTTTTGTGGGCCAGGGAATTGAACGTCTTGGAGGAGATGGAGGGCGTGGGTAGAGTAACCTCCGCTTCTCCTTCTCCCGCAGGCCAAAATAGTCCCCCTCTACTGACACCATTCTCCGCCTAATGGAACTTGTCCTTACCCTTAGCAACTTTTCCTTTAACTCCTCCCACTTCCTTCAAGCTAAAAGGGTGGCTATGGGCACCCATATGGGTCCGAGCTGTGCCTGCCTCTTCGTAAGATACGTGGAACAGTCCCTCTTCAGCTGTTACACTGGCACCATCCGTCACCTCGTTCTCCGCTACCTTGATGACTGTATTGGCACAGCCTTGTGCTCCCATGAGGAGCTTGAACAGTTCATCAACTTTACCAACACTTTTCACCCCAACCTCAAATTCACCTGGACCATCTCCAATATCTTCCTCCCCTTCCTGGACCTCTCGGTCCCCATCTCCAGTAACCGTCTCAGCACTGAAAACTATTTCAAGCCCACTGACTCCCACAGCTACCTAGACTACACCTCCTCTCACCCATCCTCCTGCAAGAATGTGATCCCTTACTCCCAATTCCTCTGCCTCCGCCACATCTGCTCCTAAGATGGAGAGCTCCACTCCTGGATATCCCAGATGTCCTCCTATTTCAAGGACCGCAGTTTCCCCACCTCCGGTGATCAAAAGTGTCCTCAACTGCATCTCTTACATTTCCTGCACTTCTGTGCTCAAATCCCCTCCACCCAACAAAAATAAGGACACAGTGCCCTGGTCCTCACATACCACCCCACCAACCTCCACATCCAGTGTATCATCCTCCGCCACTTTCACCCACCTGCAATCCAACCCCACCACCAAAGAAATATTTCCTTCCCCAACCCCATCTGCCTTTTGTAGGGACCACTCACTCTGCAACTCCCTCGTCCGCTCCACAGTCCCCACCAACCCCACCACACCTGGTACCTTTCCCTGCAACTGCAAGAGGTGCTACACATGCTCCTACACCTCCCCTCTCACCTCCATCTCCAAGGCCCAAGACAAACTTTCCAAATTCCTCCAACCTGGTCTACTGTATCCGTTGCTACCGATGTGGCCTCCTGTACATCGGTGAGACTACAGCCCGATGGCCTGAACATGGAATTCACCTGTTTCAAAATCTCCCACCCCTGGCCTCATGCCATGTCCGACTCTCCCTCTCATCACCACCTCCTTCACCTGACACAACCATTCCATCTTCTTCCCCACCTATCCGCCCCACCCTTCCCACTAACCAATCCACACTACCCTGACCTGCATCCACCTACCACCATCCTACCTACATTACCCCAGCCCCACTCCTCCTCCTTCTACTTCTTTCCAAGCTCCCTTCCCCCTCCCCACTCCAAGTGAAGGGTCCCGTCAACTTTCCTGCTCCTCTGATGTTGCCTAACCTGCTGTATTCCTCCAGCTCCACATTGTATTGACTTAATTAATAATCATGTAATCTCAGTGATATTGAGAGCAAGAGTAGTTATTATACAGTAGAATTTCTATTTTGTTTGAAATTGATAGATTAGATACAAAAATATATCTTTAAATTTAATCAAAGCCAGCTATGAGGGAACAGATAAACTGGCTGATGTCAATTGGGAGCTCAGATTAAATGGTGATGGGTAAGGATTTGAAGTAATTTATTATTCTCAATGCACATTCAATCACTGGAAAAGTGCTCAAAACCTGACTCAAGAAGTTAACGAAAGGTATTAGATTAAAAGAAGAGGATTACAATTTTGCCAAAAGTGTGGAAAAACAGGCATCCTCTCCTGAGGATGAGGCAATCTTAAAATCAGCAAGACAATGATCAGTAAAGAGCGAGGAGATAGAATTCTGAGTGTATTTTTGCAAATAATCAAAAATCTTTACAAGTGTATACAAATGGAGATAACAAAGGTAAACATGGTTCCCCTGCAGACAGAGACAGGAGAAATTATTATCAGGGATAAGGAAATGCCATAGAGATTAAACAAATATTTTATGTCTGTCTTCACAACAGAAGAAATAAAGAACATGTGGAAATTGTGGGGATTCAATGACCCTGAAGATATTAAGAAAGGAGAAAAACATTAGAGAAATTAATGAGAATAAGATTCGACCCTGTGGCCTACATCCCTGGGTTTTCAAATAGCCGGCTATGAATGTAGTGGAAACATTGGCTTTAGCTTCTAGAATTCCTAAGATCCTAGAATGATCCAATGATTTGGAGGATAGCAAATGTAAACCACCTGCTCAAGAGAGAGGAAGCTAGAAAATATAGAACTATAGATCATTTCATCAGATGATAATAGAATGGAAAATGTTGGAATCCTATTATTAAGGATTTGTTAACAGGGTACTTGGAAAATCACAACAGGATGAGGCAAATGCAGGGGCCTTATAAAAGGGAAATTGTAGAATCATCAATTCCCTGAAGTGCAGATAGAAGCCATTCAGCCAATTGAGTCTGCATCAGCCATCCAAAGAGTATCCCACCTAATCTCCACATTTACTGTGGCTAATCTACCTAGGCTGCACATGACAGGACAATTTAGTCTTTGGACTGTAGGAGGAAACCCACACAGACACAGGGAGAACATGCAAGCTCCACACAGACAGTCACCCAAATCAAACGCAGGTCCATGGCACTGTGAGGCAGCAGTGCCAACCACTGAGCCATCATGTGAATGACAAGAGTTTCTAATTGATTGGGGAGGTAAGGGGGAGAATTAATGAATGTAGTATATGTGGATTTTCAGAAGACATTAGCTCAGGTGACACACAATGGGTTGTTACCTGAGATGTGAGACAAGAGATTGTAGGAATGGAGTAATACATTAGCATGGATTAACCCACTGTAAAACTGAGAGAAACAAGCCAATTTTGGGATAACAGGGTGTATCTAGTGAAGTGTCACAATGATCAGGTTTTCACTCATCATAACCAATATAAATTAAATGAGGGGATTTGGAGTCATATGTCCAAGTTTGCTGAAGATTTAAATCTAGATAGGAAAGTAATCTGTGAGGAGACAGAAAGAAACTACAAAGAGAACTAAACTTATTAAAATGTTAGACAAGAAGTCGGTATATAATGTGGATAAATTTGTAATTGTCCACTTTGGAAGGAAGAATAGAAAATGAGAATATTGTTAAAAAGTAACAGGCTGGTAAAGATTAGTGTACAGAGGAATTTGAGTATACATGAATCTCAAAAAGGAAATCTACTCAAACAGCAAGCAAATAAAAATTTATTTTTATTCATTTATTATTGGCTAGGCCAGCATTTATTGTCTATCCCTAATTACCCAAAGGGCAGTTAAGAGTCAACAACATTGTGGGTCTGGAGCTACATTTAAGCCAGACCAGGGAAAGATGGCAGATTTCTTTTCTTAAAGGAAATAAGTGAACCAGATTTTTTTTAATATGATAATCAACAATGATTGCAGGGTTGCCATTAGGCTAGCTTTTTATCACAGGTTTTCATTTTATTTCAAATTTCACCATCTGCCATGTTGGGATTCAAACGAATATCTCCAGAGCTTTAGCTTAGATTCTGAAATTACCAGTGACATTACCACTACGCCACTGCCTTTGCTGTAAGGGATTGAAGTAGAGTAAGGATGTTTTTCTGCGGTTTTATAAAGCTTTAGTGAGACCACACCTGGAGTACAGTGTCTAGGATTATCCTGTTTACCCAAAAAAGAACAGATATATTTAAACAACCTGCAGTGACATACTGCTGGAGCAGCTGGGACTTGAACCCAGACGTTCTGGTCCACAGGTAGCTTCACTACCACACTATCACAAGAGTCCTCCCAAGAAGGAGCGTAATTGCTTAAAAGCAAATGCAACACAGGTTCACCAGAAGGATTTCTGAGATAAGAGGGCAAGAAAGAGTACAATGGGCCAAGATTCTCTGATATTGAGAAGAATAGGAGGTAACTTCCTAATGTACAAAATTCTCAGAAGGTATTGGTAATTGTTGAGAAGTTGTTTTTTTTTTAAATTTGGGAAATTTAGGACAAATTGTCATAATCTTAACATAGAAAGTTGCTCATTTTGGACTGCAGATGAGGAGAAATTTCTGTACTATTTAGAATTCACTGTCTCAGAGACCTGTGGATATTCAATGAGTACATTCAAAAGGGCATTGGGGCAGAACCTGTCACAATGGATACCTGTCACAATGGATAATAAATGTGTAAAATAAGCTGCAATGAAGGGCAGTCAGAATGAATAATATAAAGTTGGGCAAAATAGATCTTTAATCCCTACAATTACAGATCAGATAGTTTAACTTCGGTTGTGGCGAAACTTCTAGAAACAGGTGGATTGATTAGGAAGAGTTGGCATGGATTTCTAAATACGTTTACTAACTTGCTGGATTTTTTTTGAGGAAATAACAGAAAGAGTCAATGAGGGTAATGCTGTTAACTTGGATTTCCAGATGACATTTAATACAGTGCCATAGAACAGACTTAAGGAAAGTTATAGACCATAGTATAAAAGCAACATTCATACAAAATTAGCTGATGATAGAAAAACAGAGTGATGGTCTATGAATATTTTTTGGGCTGGAGGAAGTTGGGATTATTCCCTTTGAATAGGAGGCTGAGAAAAGATTTAATTGAGGTGTCCAAAATTGTGAATGAGCCAGACACCGTAGATAGGGAGAAGTTGTTCCGGCTCATAAAAGGAAAAAGAATGAGAGGGCATAGATTTAAAGTGATGGGAGGGAAGAAAACTTTTCCACACAGTGAACAGTTAAAGCATGGAATGCACTGTCTCGAAAGGTGGTGAAAACAGGTTCAATTGAGCCATTCAAGAGGGCATTGGATGGTTATTTGGACTGAAATGGTGTTCCAGGGTATGGGGAAAGGCAGGAAATTGGCACTCAGAAATAGAACCAGTAAGGCATGATGGGTCAAATGGCCACTACCTGTGCTGTAACAATTCTGTAATTCTGTAATTCAAAATAAATGACCTATAAAAATAAAGGTTATTTTGACTATTTCTTTCCTGCTTTTCATACTTTCAGTGTCTGCTGCATTTATGTTATGATGTGGAGGTGCCTATGTTGGACTGGGGTGAATAAGGTCAGAAGTCATATGACACCAGGTTATAGTCCAACACGTTAATTTGAAATCACAAGCTTTCGAAGCACTGCTCCTTTGTCACCTAACGAAGGAGCAGCACTCCGAAAGCTTGTGATTTCAAATAAACCTGTTAGACTATAACCTGGTGTTGTATGACTTCTGACCTTGCATTTATTTCACTCAATGTGTCCTCCATATTCAACTCGAAGTGAAGGCCTGAAGGAAGATTGTTTGTTTGGCCCCTTTAGCTGGGAGTCATTGTGCAAACGGAAGATACTGACATTAAAAGTAACGTAAGGGGCCTGCAGGAAATAGGCTCATCTATTTTGTTCCCTGTTAAGAATTTGGTATCTCTCAAAGAACATGTTTCAAACTCAGATCCACTTTGATTACACAGTTTGAACAAACAATTGCATTGAAGGTGGCTGGAAATGCTGTTCACTAACCTCTGCACTGTCATTGAGTTGAGGTTAATAATTTTGCTTCTTTCTCATACTCTGGATTACTCTGGATTATGCAGGAACTGCATCAGAAAAATGGGCCATTTGATCCAACCCATTTATGCAGTTTTTTTCTGCTCCATTCAAGCTCCTCCCATCTTTCTTCATCCAAATCTATCATCATAACCCTCTCTTCCTTTCTCCCTCATATATTTGTCTCGCTTCCCCATAAGTTCATCTATTGTATTGACTTCAGCCACTCCTTGTACTTGTGAATCCCATAGTTTCATCACTCTTTGGGTGAAGAATTTTCTTCTGAATTTTCAATTGGATTTTTTTGTTGATTGCCTTGTATACAAACAAATGAATTAAGACCAGAAGCAGACCATTTTGGCCCTTGAACTGCCTGTGTCTTTGGATAAGATCATGGTTGATCTGATTGTGATATCAATGCCATATTCCTGTCTGACCCAGATTAAAACATTTTACGTCCTTATAAGTCATGAATCAATCGACCTCAGCATTAAAATGTTCAACGATCCTGTCTTCACTGCTGTCCAGAGAAGAGGTTCACAGACTCATTAAATTGAAAGAAAAAGATTCTCTCGACATCTACTTTAAATGGAAGGCCCACTTATTTTTAAATTGTGTGCTTACTTCTAGTTTCTCCCTCAAAGGGAAACATCCTTTCAGTATCCAGCTTGTCAAATACCCTCAGGCTCATATATCTTTTTATAAGATCACAGCTCATTCTGCTAAATTCCAATGGATACAGCTCCAGCCAAACCACTTTCTCCTCATAAAATAACCCTACTTCACCCAGGTATCATTCAGATTGATTGATGTGTTGATACTAATAGTTCTACTTTTCACCGTAAGTATTATTATCTTGGTATCCACTCTATCACACCTTCCAGAATTATAAAGACCCCTTACATTACCCCTCAGCCCTTTTTTTCCACGAGCAAAGAAATGCAGCCCGTTCATCCTTGTCTTGCTGTGTATATCCACACATTTATGGTATCATCCTTGCAAGTGCTCTCCGGAGATAAACAAAATGGTCATTAGGAATGGTGCACTTGACGGTTGCAAAATATGTTGGGGTGGGAGATCACTAAATTAACTTGTTTTATTATCCATTAACTTAGTGCCTCTCCTCTCAAACTGAGAGTTCAAATTGTTAGGTGGTAACACACGAGAGAAAGCTTTAAGATATCCCCTCTATTGCAGTATCCAAGTAGCTGGGTTTTGTAATGACCTAGGAATGTGTGAATTAACCTTGTTACATTGGTGTTGACTGTGCTATGAATAACCTGCTTGGATGCGTAGTGCAGAGCTGGATGAACACAGCAGGCCAAGCAGCATCATAGGAGCAGAAAGGCTGACGTTTCGGGCCTATACCCTTCATCAGAAATGGGGGAGGGGAAGGGGGTTCTGAAATAAATAGGGAGAGAGGGGGAGGCGGATAGAAGATGGATAGAGGAGAAGATAGGTGTACAGGAAACAGACAGGTCGAAGAGGCGGGGATGGAGCCAGTAAAGGTAAGTGTAGGTGGGGAGTTAGGGAGGGTATAGGTCAGTCCAGGGAGGACGGACAGGTCAAGGGGGCGGGATGAGGTTAGTAGGTAGGAGATGGGGGTGCGGCTTGAGGTGGGAGGAAGAACAGGTTAGGGAGGCGGGGACGAGCTGGGCTGGTTTTGGGATGCGGTAGGGGGAGGGGAGATTTTGAACCTTGTGAAATCCACATTGATACCATTGGGCTGCAGGGTTCCCAAGCGGAACATGAGTTGCTGTTCCTGCAACCTTTGGTGGCATCGTTGTGGCACTGCAGGAGGCCCAGGATTGACATGTCGTCTGAGGAATGGGAGGGGGAGTTGAAATGGTTCGCGACCAGGAGGTGCAGTTGTTTATTGCGAACCGAGCGTAGGTGTTCTGCAAAGCGGTCCCCGAGCCTCCGCTTGGTTTCCCCAATGTAGAGGAGGCCAGTGGTCTAGACCCGAAACGTCAGCCTTTCTGCTCCTATGATGCTGCTTGGCCTGCTGTGTTCATCCAGCTCTGCACCTTGTTGTCTCGGATTCTCCAGCATCTGCAGTTCCTACTATCTCTGGATGCATAGTGTTGACTTCGTTTCTAAACAAGTTCAGTGTAGATGCTTACTTAGGTAAACTGTTAGGCATCTGTTTTTGTAGCGAAGGCTATTTTCTTTTTACTGATTGTAACAATAATGTAACTAATTCTGTTATGAATTTAAAATATAGAACTTAGCCTTGTGGCAAAATTGGTATTATATCTGAAAGTACATGATTGATGGTTTGATAGTAAATTAAACTCCATTTTTGTTTCAGTTTGAAACATTTTTATTCAATTTTGGGAATAAAGTAAGTGAAATACTTCAATGAATACAGGGCAGTATTTTTGAGGCACCATCTTGCAGATGTCATATTAAACTAAAGCTTTGGTTATGCCTTCCATTGATATAAGAGAACCTGTTCTCACAATTTTTTGAGCAGAACAGGAGAGTTCACCACCAGTGTCCTGACCAATATTTATGTCTCAACCAATGTCAGTAAACAGTGGGTAGGATCAGATTTGTTTAAATTGCAGTTCCTTTCTAATAGAGTTTATTTTTCTCATAAATATTCTCCCTTCTTATCCCATAAATTGTGAATGAATAGCCTGAAGAGTTAACACGTTTTTAAGCATTTGCTTGTTCAGGAAGTTTTAAAGTAAACTCCATTTGTCTTTCTTCCAGTGAAGGACATCCCTCACCCAGAACTGAATTGCTGCACAACATTGATTCGTTGTTTGTTGATAATTCTCCATGTAAGTGTAACATTCTGAAGATACTTACTGCTCTCGCTATAAGTCAGTGTGCAGTGCCCTTAGCTGTGAGGGACTTTACATGGGCTATTAATTTCCTGCCAAAGTGAACTTTAGACTGCATATTTGCATCACTAAGATGACCTATTTCTATCTCTGCCACCTTGTCCAACTTCATCCCATCTCTGCTCAGCTGCTACATAAACCCTACTTCATGCCTTTGTCACTTCTAGACATGTCTATTCCCATGCACTGCTGACTGGTCCGCCTTCTACCCTTCGTAAGCTTGAAGTCATCCAAAACTCTGCTGCTGTGTCTGAATTCACACTTAGTCTGTCCACCTGTCACTTTGAACTCATTGACCTACTTTGACTCAAGGTCAAGTAATAATTGATTTTGGAATTCTCAACCTTGATGTTTTTCCCCATGCCCTTTCCACTCCCTATCTCTGTTCAGTAATTTTCTGCACCCTCCAAGAAACCTAGCTCATCTAATTCAGGTCTCTTGAAATACTGCACCTTTGGAGACTTTGCGCTCTAGAATTTCTTTTTCTGCCTCACATTCCTCTGTTAAAACTCTCCTTAAAATGAATCTGTATGGTCAAGCAAGGGATCTTCAGTCTTTCCTTCCGTAGTTTATGGCTTTTACAACATCAGTTTGGTATCACCAAATCAAATCAGTTATTGTTATTTACCCCATCCACCATATGGTCTTTGCATGTTTTATGCATTGTGGCTCTTCAGCTCCTTATCTCTAAACTACATGTTAGTTCTGCAATGTGTACTTTTGATTTGAAATAACTGCTTTATAAGATGGTTGGGGTTTACACACTGGGAGAATGTTGACCTCAAACTGGCTAAATGTAGCCAATTTGACTTGTATTGAAAATTTCAGCTTTGCTTTGACTTGTACCTATTTACCTAAAACAATGAGGAAAATGGTCTAGTTTCCCACTGTAGCACGTTGCATCGATGATCTATGACTACAGTCATGCTGTGATTCATGTATTCAGGACAGTATGGGAATCTTTACACATCTGATCGCTTCCTATCAGATTTCTAAGCTTGTCAGAATAAGTCCAGCTCTCATACGGAGGGAATAAAAACTGAAAGAACTGCAGATGCTGTAAATCAGGAACAAAAAGGAAGTTGCTGGAAAAGGTCAGCAGGTCTGGCAGCATCTGGGAAGGAGAAAACAGAGTTAACGTTGCAGGCCCTGAGGAAGGGTTACCGGACCCGAAATGTTAACTCTGTTTTTTCGTTCACAGATGCTGCCAGACCTGCTGAGCTTTTCCAGCAACTTTGTTTTTGTTCCTCATACAGAAGGAATTGTGTATATTGAAAGTTTCTTCAAGATATTTCATTGCTAGCCATTTAGTACATCTAAACTCACATATTCAGGGCAAACATACAGTGTAATTGTTTTAAGGTTGTTCTTTATTATAATAGAATAGAATAATTAAATTTAATAGAATACCCTGGCAAGTTCCAGATTGAAATTACACCACTCGGTGTGTTCCATTATTATGGAATTGGAAAGTTAGGAAGTATTAACTTGGAAGTAATATTCCAAACTAACTTTATTTCTTGTATACCAATTTTTTAAACTCAGGCATCAGAGACTTATTTTTTAATTTAATGGTCAGGGTATTTAAATAACTTGATACCTTGATGGTTTCAAAGATGGTCCCAACCCTTTGTGAGCATTCATATCTACCCTTTTAAAAAGCTGAAGTTCACAAACTGCAGGAAGCAGACCTTGCTCCAGTGAAAATGGGATCAGTCTGAACTCTGTGAATCTAAGATAATGCATGCTTTTGACAGATATTAGGTGGACAATTGAGAACAATTGGTTGTAGTACAGAATTGAAAATTGCTGAGAAAAGACGCATTTTGTTGAAGCTTTTCATCTTTCTGATCATGAATACAAATTCCAGGGTAAACTCATACTACATGAGGAGAATGATGATTGTCCAGCAAATGGACACTGCTTGGTAATGGCATTGCCATGGAAAGTGCACCCATTAATGCTGATTGACAGTTAACTGCCAGACTTTGTTTTAATTTTAAAGCAAGCAGGTTGACTCTGGTCAGGGCATTACCCTGAGAAATGAGCCAGGGCATATTTGTCACTTATTGAGTTGAAATCATTGCAGTGCTTGTGCATGTTCTTTCTGTTCACAAAGAACAGAAAATTTAATCTAAGCCTGTGGCTGTGAACTGCCAATCAGAATTAATCAGTGCCTTCTTTGTGGCAACGCAACTACCACTCAGTGTTCATTTGCCAGCAAATCAGCACCCTTCATATGCAATGTAAATGTTGGTTTTCACCTTGAATTTGTATTCTTGCTAAATGTCCTGAGTAATTCAAGACAAAGCTTCAACAAAATGTGTAAAACAGCAAAACAATTGAAAAGCAGGCTAGGTATAGAAGATTCAGAAAATAATTTGGAAAGGAAATAAGAGAAGTAAAGAGTGAGAATGAGAAGGAGCTGGCAACCAACATAAAAGGGAATTCAAATGATTTTTACAGGCATGTAAATAGTATTGCTGCGGTGAGAGGAGGAGTGGGTCTGATTAAGGGGATTTTCACATGGAGACAAGGGGCATAACTGACAAATAAATTAATACATTGCTTCTACCTTTGCTGAGAAAGATGATGCTGTCCAGGTTATGGTGTAAATGTAAATATTCCAGAAACATTTGGGACCAGCTTGTGGTAAAGCCCACAAGAGAACAGGAAATTCTGGATTTGGTGATGTATAATAAGACAGACTTGATAAGGGAGCTTAAGGTGAAGGAATCCCTAAGAAGCAGTGACCATAATATGATAGAATTCACCCTGTAATTTGAGAGGGAGAAGCTGGAATCAGATGTAACGGAATTACAATTGAGTACAGATAAGTACAAAGACGTGAGGAAGGAGCTGGCCAGAGTTGATTGGGAGGGGAGCCTGTCAGGGAAAATGGTGGAGCAGCAATGGCGGTAGTTTCTGGGGGTAATTCAGGAGCCACAGAGAAAGTCATCACAAGGAAGAAGAAACATACTAAGGAGAGGACGAGGCAACCATGGCTGACAAGGGAAGTCAGAGACAGCATTAAAGCAAAAGGAAAAGCATACAATATGGTGAAGATTAGTGGGAAGCCAGAGGGTTTGGAAGCCTTTTAAAAACCAGCAGAGGATAAGTGAAAAAGACAATAAGGGGGAGAAGATGGAATATAAGGGTAAGCTGGCTAGTAATATAAAAAAAGATTGCAAGAGTTTTTTTTAGGTATCTAAAAGGTAAGAGAGAGGCAAGAGCTGACATTCAACCACTGGAAAATGAGTTTGGAGAAGTAGTAATGGGGAACAAAGGAACTAAGGAGAAGGTGCTGGGGAGCTGAAAGTCTGAATATAAATAAAGCCATATGAATCCATATCTGGTCCATCGGAATATGGACCAGATAGATTACACCTCTGAGTTCTGAAGGAGATAGCTGTGGGGATTGTAGAGGAATTGGTGGTGAGTTTTCAGGAATCACGGAACTCCAGGAGGGTTCTAGAGGACTGGAAAATGGTTAATGTAACACTCCCAATTAAAAAGGTAAAAGCACAGAAAACAGGAAGCTATATGTCAGTTAGCTTGACCTCAGTCATTAGTAAAATTTTAGAGTCAATTATTAAGGATAAGATTGCGGAGTACTTGGAAGTGCATGATAACAAAGCTGTGCTGACTCCAGTCTATGTTAAGGGGCGGTCATGCCTGACAAATCTATTAGAATTCTTTGAGGCAGTAATGAGCAAGTTAGACACGGGAGAGCTAGTGGACTATATCTATTTGGATCTCCAGAGGCCTTTGACAAAGTGCCGCACAGGAGGCTGCTAAATAAGATAAGAGCCCATGGTGTTAGGTGCAAGGTACTGATATGGCTGTCTGTCAGAAGGTAGAGAGTGGGTTTAAAAGGGTATTTTTCAGGATGGCAATCAGTGACTAGTTGAGTTCTGCAGAAGTCTATGTTGGGATCACAACTATTCATGTTATACATTAACGATCTGGATGAAGGAACTGAGGGCATTGTTGCTAAGTTTGCAGATGGCACATAGATGGTTGGAGGGGCAGGTAGTGTTGAGGAAGTAGGGAGGGTGCAAAAGTACTTGGAAAGGCTAGGAGAGTGGGCAAAGAAGTGGCAGATGGGAATATAACAGGAAAGTATGAGATTATGCACTTTGGTAGGAAAAATAGAGGCGTAGGCTATTTTCTAAATGCGGAAAAGCTTTGAAAATCTGAAGCACAAAGTGACTTGGGAGTCTTAGTTCAGGATTCTTTTAAGGTTAATGGGCAGGTTCATTTGGCAGTTGGGAAGGCAGTTAGCATTCATTTTGAAAGGGCTAGAATACAAGAGCAGGTATGTACTGCTGAGGCCATATTGTGCAATATTGTAATATTGCAATATCTGAGCAGTGTTGGGCCATGTATCCGAGGAAGGATGTGTTGCCCTTGGAGGGGGTCCAGAGGAGGTTTGCAAGAATGATCCCAGAGATGAAGAGTTTGTCATTTAAGGAGTAGTTGAGGACTCTGGTTTTGTACACAATGGAGCTTAGAAGGATGAGAGGGTGCCTTATTGAAACTTAGAGTACTGAGAGGCCTAGACAGAGTGGATGTGGAGAAGATGTTTCCACTAGTAGGAGAGACTAGGACCTGAGGGCACAGCTTCAGAGTTGAGGGACGATCCTTTAGAACTGAGATGCGGAGGAATTTTTTCAGCCAGAGGATGGTGAATCTTTGGAATTCATTGCCGCAGAAGCTGTGGAGGCCAAGTCACTGAATGTATTTAAGACACGAGTTGCCCAAGTAGTCATTAATTTTGTCCCAAATTATCATTTCCATAAGCTTCTCCACCAAAGAGTTTAAATTGCTGAGTGACCTGCAGTTGCTGGGCTTACCCTTACATCCTTTTCAAATGAGGCTGCAATACTTACAATTCTCCAGCCTTCTGGCAACACCACTAAGTTTAAGGAAGGTCA